TCTTCCCCTTCTTTCTTCTCTTTCACATTTATTGTCTTTATTATAGACCAACATAGATTGGCTCTATATAAACCTGTCTTGTATTCCTTGTGCAGTTGGTGAAAACATATTTTGCTTATCGAAACATTCTCTCATCTTCTCTCTTCCGCTCTCTCTCTCTCTCTCTCACACAATTCTATTATGGTATCATAGAGCTCCTCAATCCTCTTCCCCTTCTTTCTTCTCTTTCACATTTATTGTCTTTATTATAGACCAACATAGATTGGCTCTATATAAACCTGTCTTGTATTCCTTGTGCAGTTGGTGAAAACATATTTTGCTTATCGAAACATTCTCTCATCTTCTCTCTTCCGCTCTCTCTCTCTCTCTCTCACACAATTCTATTATGGTATCATAGAGCTCCTCAATCCTCTTCCCCTTCTTTCTTCTCTTTCACATTTATTGTCTTTATTATAGACCAACATAGATTGGCTCTATATAAACCTGTCTTGTATTCCTTGTGCAGTTGGTGAAAACATATTTTGCTTATCGAAACATTCTCTCATCTTCTCTCTTCCGCTCTCTCTCTCTCTCTCTCACACAATTCTATTATGGTATCATAGAGCTCCTCAATCCTCTTCCCCTTCTTTCTTCTCTTTCACATTTATTGTCTTTATTATAGACCAACATAGATTGGCTCTATATAAACCTGTCTTGTATTCCTTGTGCAGTTGGTGAAAACATATTTTGCTTATCGAAACATTCTCTCATCTTCTCTCTTCCGCTCTCTCTCTCTCTCTCTCACACAATTCTATTATGGTATCATAGAGCTCCTCAATCCTCTTCCCCTTCTTTCTTCTCTTTCACATTTATTGTCTTTATTATAGACCAACATAGATTGGCTCTATATAAACCTGTCTTGTATTCCTTGTGCAGTTGGTGAAAACATATTTTGCTTATCGAAACATTCTCTCATCTTCTCTCTTCCGCTCTCTCTCTCTCTCTCTCACACAATTCTATTATGGTATCATAGAGCTCCTCAATCCTCTTCCCCTTCTTTCTTCTCTTTCACATTTATTGTCTTTATTATAGACCAACATAGATTGGCTCTATATAAACCTGTCTTGTATTCCTTGTGCAGTTGGTGAAAACATATTTTGCTTATCGAAACATTCTCTCATCTTCTCTCTTCCGCTCTCTCTCTCTCTCTCTCACACAATTCTATTATGGTATCATAGAGCTCCTCAATCCTCTTCCCCTTCTTTCTTCTCTTTCACATTTATTGTCTTTATTATAGACCAACATAGATTGGCTCTATATAAACCTGTCTTGTATTCCTTGTGCAGTTGGTGAAAACATATTTTGCTTATCGAAACATTCTCTCATCTTCTCTCTTCCGCTCTCTCTCTCTCTCTCTCACACCCCTTCTCTCTCTTTCTATATATATATGTATAGGGGGATTATAATTACATCGGTGTAACTTTTACTAAGTTTTACACCGCTCAATAACTTTTATATTAATTATGAGTTTTGTAAATCCAATCGTCAGATTCAAAGTTCATATCACTTTATACGTGTATATCAAATTTTGTTAAAATTGAACAACAACTTGAAGGTAATCAAAATGTTCATATTTTAGTGTATTTTGAAAAGAATATATTACGTCAATTTTGTTTTATAAAAATGAAGTATCAAATCATCTTGGATTAATATAAATTTTTTTTATATATGATCTAAGAGATATGAATTTTCAATCTAACAGTTAGATTTTCAAAATTCACATTTAATATAAAATTATTTAATAATAGTTAGTAAAAATTACACTAGCGTTTTTATAATCTCCTTTTTATATATATATATATATGATTCCTTGAATTCGGTATTTTTATGATTTATGGCCAAAATTTTGATTGAAACAAGTAGTTGTGTCTTATAATTATACACACGTCTTTGTTTCATTCTAAATTATGGTGACATTTTTTACACTTGTCTTGTTGCCGATTAAAAATAAGAAGAACATCTACCACTTCTCCTAGTATTTGCCATCACCTCTAGTAACTTCTTTCATCCAGTTTCAAACTATCGACTTGACATACAAGTAAATCAAAATATATTTCTTTTGTTTTTGGTATGTACAAACGTCTAGGTAGGGGAAGTGGGTAAATTGTTTTTAACAAGTCTGTTGAAATTTATTTATGTAGTTTTTTTGTCATTAATTTATTATATTATGTAATTAAATAATTAATATGCCTTGCAGGCCTTGGTTCATTTGCTTCTACTCTTTTTATTTATTTAAGAAATTAGTTGCATACTTACGTGCTAACTAATAAATTCTGGATCCTGTTGAATTGAATACAGGGATGCATAAAATATAAATATACATTTCTTTTAAAAAAATATAAATATATATTATAATTATTTTCTATAAAATTTGATAGTTAAATAAAAATAAACTAGGTCAGACTAAATTATACTATAATTTAGTAAGTTTGAATCTAACTTTTATTAAAAATACATATCTTAAATATAATTTGTTTTTTTATCATGGACATTTTTTAAATGTTTGTCTTAATAATTTAATACTAGTAAAAATATAAAAATAAATATGTTAAATTCTATAAAAATCAAGTTTAATATAAATTTTTTAGATGATAATTTATTTAAAAACATATTTATAATAAAATTTTTAAATAGAACATAAATTTTATAATTTTTACTATTTTGATTTTTTTAATTAATGTATACAATAAATAAAAAGTACAAAAGGTAAACATGCATGCTGCAAATTTTATTTTACCAAAAATTAATTTTTAATATATTACATTATATATGTGAGCATTACTATATATATATATATATATATATATATTATAATTAAACTAAAAAAAAATTGGTTTGTTATCAAGAAATATTTTTCATCACATTTGAGAACTAATCTCATTTGAAAGTTTAATATACATTAAATAAATTGATATTTTATTCAAACTTAAATTTTATACATACAATAATTTAAACATATATATTTATTTTATTAGAATATAACTTTTATTTTTTAAAATATACTA